ATCATTTACATATGACCAGTTATTTCAGAATTTTATTGTTAAATATTTTGAAAGGTGTTTGACCTTGTGACAAGGATCGAATGTCATCTCATGTGATTGCTTATGCTTTCTTCTGCTTTCCAAATCAGAAATATGTTTCATCGTCATCCTCCAAGAATTCCTCCTTCACGTGCAACCATGGTTCAAAGTCGCGGTCGCAGTTACGGTCGCGGCTTGGACCGTTCCATATCGGTCGCGGTCTCGGCGAGACGCCAATTTTTGAAATATTTAATATTCTAAAAATTGTAAAATATATGATAAACAAAAATAATTAAAAAATTAGTAAAAATAATAAAAATTCGAGTTGACTCAGGATGACTCGGAGTGATTCGATGAGACTCGGCCGTTTCAACCCTTCACGGTGACGTCTCGACGAATCACGTATCTCGGTTTGTTTCCTCGCGGTCTTTGGTAACGACTTGGCCGAGTCTTCGAACCATGCGTGCAACCCAAGCTGTTTTAAAGGGTTCACAATGCTGCAATTCTTCAGGACTCTCAGCATATGACCTTGTGACAAGGATCGAATGTCATCACATGTGATTGCCTATGCTTTCTTCTGCTTTCCAAATCAGAAATATGTTTCATCGTCATCCTCCAAGAATTCCTCCTTCACGTGCAACCCGAGCTGTTCTAAAGGGTTCACAATGCTGCCTCTTCAGGACTCTCAGCACCATGACAGGTTAATACCTGCGGAGGACATAGGTGAGAGAACATCCGCTTAACATCTCGAGTTCCTTGAGAATCATCAGATTGTCCTCGAGCTTGAGCTCTACTTTCCTTTTCATCATCTCCAAAGTAACCCTGGCAGCTTCCATCTCTCTCTCCCCCTCTCTCTTTCCACCAATTTAGCCTCTTTCTTTAACTGCTCTACGTCCCTCTCCCTCCTTGTGCAGCCTTCTCCTCTTCAGAGTTTAGTGTTTTCATTCTTCCCTTTCTTGCTGGAGATCAACCCTGTCAGATTCTGCTTTTGAGATAATATTTGCACATCGGCTGGTTTTTATCACGGAGCATAAAGCGTCCTTGAGAGTCTGCTGACCGGAGATAGCTTTTGTAACCATGGTTGGCGTCATCCTCCGTAGATTTCCAAAGTCAGGACATGAGCTTTTTTTGCTCAAATCTGAATTATTAACCTCAGCACTAATCCAATCAATTCCAGTTCTTGAAATTGCAGTAATCTTCATAGTATTATTGTGACGCTTCAATTTAGTTTCTATCGCTCTCCATCTACTCTGTGCATCCATTGCTCTCTTCTTCCTCTTTTGTACTTGCGTGGCTTTTCCTATCTTGCTGTTGCAGCCATGAACAATCCTGGATTTTGATTCCCTTTTCGTTCTTGATTTATTGCTCTTAGCTTGTAGTCAATTATTATAGTCAGATGCCATTGGTCTTCAACTTCTGAGTTCCAGTTTATGTTTTTTCTGCAAAAGAACTGAAGCCCAGGTAGTGGGAGGCAAAACAATAGCAAATTACAAAATCCAACCAAGAAGAAGAAAGAATAGAGAACGAACCCTAAATCGAAGCGTTGCTAATGTCTCTTCAATGTTGATGATGATTGGAGAATGCGATTGATTGAATTCGACTATTTCAAGAAGGAATGGGAATGAGAAAATCCTACTTTTTAGAGTTCAGAAATCCTTTCTCTTTTTCCCCTATTTTCTTCCTCGGCCGTGGGAAATTCAAACAGCTATTGTATTGGGTTTCCATTAACAGGTCGGATCGGGATTCAAATAATTGGGCTCAACTTGATGTACTGGCCTTGCAGCAACGTAAAATTGGACTTTTGTATCCCACCAATATTGATAACATTATTTATGCTTATTTTCTGTGTAATTAAAAAGTTGGGTTAATTATAATTTATTCATTTAAGGTATACTCTAATTCTTACTTGATCCCGTAAACATTATTTTTTGTCAGTGGAACCCTAAAAGACAAAAATACCCTCTACTATGCTAAATTTTTTTTGTCTCCATCCTCATTTTTTTTTTTTGGAGCACATTTAGTACGCTTGAGGATTTTTCCCAAATTACTATTGAAAAAATTTATGTCATAGCCATATGTCCAACAATTATTGTATAAAAAATGCTAGAAAAAATGTAAAATATTCTTCTGGCACTAAGTGTTACGCAAAATATCCTTATGACATTAAGTACTAAGTTAAGGACTAATGATTTTATCAAGTAAAATATCCTTCAAATACTAAGTATTAAGTTTAAGAACTAATAATTTTATCAAAATGATATTTTATATTTTTTGGCAATTTTTATTAATAGTTACTAGACATGTGACTAGCACATGACTCTTTCAAGTGGCAATTTAGGAAAAAATTTTCTAGAGTACTAAATGTGCTCAAAAGTTGAAAGTTTGGATACTAGATTTGTTTTCGTCCAAAGTTTAGATACCAAAACTGCATTTTCTCAAAATTACACCCTGTATAGTAGTAGCTACTTGACAAGTACAGTGGAAGTCAGTACGCTAACAATTTATTACTTAATTTGGGCTTTCCGATAGCACCGTTAAATTGGCACTGTTGGATTGGACGATGGATACTACAGTAAGCTCACAAGGCTCAATTCAAGATGTATTGTTTGTGATAGATATCAATAGCCAGAATTTTTGTGATTTTTTTCTTTAACAAACAAAAGAAACAGATTAGTAAAAAAATTTCAACCGACGAGTTTACTAGGGCTCATCAATGATATACAATTTCTTAGGTTCTTCTCCATGGAGTTAAGAACTTTAGCTGATGCTAATCAATCAAATTTCAACAACAAAAAAATTCAAGATTAAAATAACGATTGCCACCAAATCATTGTCACAACCCAAAAGATAGTAGTAAATCTGTTTCAGTTTTATCATGAAGATTAGTCAAACTCTGCAACAGATTAGAAAAAAAAAAATTAGTGAAACACACAAGTTACCAAAATCAATCCAAAGATTACTTGAAAAGGAATGAGTTCAGTTGATTAAAGTGGCTTACTATTTGTTTTGGGAAAATCGTCCAAAACATTCCTCACATTTTATAAAACAAATTTTTTCGTCTCTCACTTTTTATAAAATGATTTTTTCATCCCTCACATTTCACAAAATGAATTTCTCCATCCCTCACATTTCAAAAAATGAATATTTCTATCCCTCACTAATTATGTATGTGAGGGAAACCCTAAAAAAAAATGTGTGTGAATACATTTTGTTTAAACACATGTATATGTCTATTTGATTTTGTTTAATAATACGAATAACATAAATATATGTATGTGTCTATTTGATTTCACTTAACAATACGAATACCATATATTATACGTGATCATTTGATTTCATCTGGTATTAGCTAGTAAATAATCTTGCATTCATTGTCAAGTTGGTCAATAAAGCTATTTTCGGTCAAAATACAAATAAGAGTATGCAAATTAAGCTTCCATTGGTAAATATTAGTCATAATCATACAAAAAGAGGAGATAGCCCACAAGTTGGGCCCAATTACATACATGTGTTTATGCTATTATTATTAAGCAAAATCAAATAGACATATACATATATTTAAAAAAATGTATTCACACACATAATTAGTGAGAAATGAAAATTTTATTTTTTGAAATGTGAGGGATGGAGAAATTCATTTTGTGAAATGTGAGGGATGAAAAAAATCATTTTATAAAATGTGAGGGACGAAAAAATTTATTTTATAAAATGTGGAGGACTATAGATCAGATTATATAAAATATAATTTGATAAATTTACCCTTCAAAAATGATCACGTGCCTTGCACATGATGGATTCCTGCCAAAAAATGATCGAAAACCTAGTTAGGGACTAAATTTGACCAATGTGAATATATAAGGGACATAAAATATATACTTTTAAAAGTGAGGGACGAAAAAAGTCATTTTATAAAATGTGAAAGACGTTTTGGATTTTTCCCATTTGTTTTTCTAGACACATTCATTAATGAGGACGAAGAAAGATGGAAAAAATTAAGTAGATTGAGGATGAATGGTATGTCTTTTTTGTTCTTTGTACCCTCCTCTTGAAAAAAAAATGCCAATTTTGGTTTAACTATTTCAAGCTTGGATTAAATATTTATCAAGACTGAACTAAAACAAATATTTTTCAAGACAAAATCGAATTGTTTGAATATTTTACATATAAATTTTAAAAACAACGTTAATAGAGCCAAAGTTCAAACATAATAGAGTTAATTCTATTTTGCGTCTTTCAACTATAACCAAATTCTCTCTTTAGTACTTAAATTTTAAAATGAGATATTTTTTTTTAAACTATAAAATTGGTCTAACTTAGGCATACAATTTGTCCTGAAATATAAGATTAGATACTTTAGTCCCGTTTTAATTTCAAACAGTATAAATAGCTATGAGCTGGATTACTCGGCAAGGGCACAATTCACAAATAATTAGTCCTTCTGTCAGGAAGGGATCCAAAACAAAAGTAGTTTGACTTAAATGTTGTTACACATGGCGTCGCCCGGACTCGAACCGGAGACCTTCAGTGTGTTAAACTGACGTGATAACCAACTACACCACGACACCAGACGTTTGAACCGCTGCCTTATCCTCATAAGGAATCATAAATTGAGATAACAAAGCGTTTTGATCAAGTAACTTAATTACCAAGAAATGTATTTCGATAAGACAGCCAGTCAAACATCTGGTCTCGTGTGTAGTTGGTTATCACGTCAGTCTAACACACTGAAGGTCTCCGGTTCGAGTCTGGGCGACGCCATCTGTAACAACAATTAGCTCAAACTACTTTTTTTTTTGATCCCTTCCTGACAGAAGGATTTAGTATTTGTGAATTGTGACCTTGCCGAGTAATCCAGCTCATAGCATATTACACCTAAACCTTTTTATTCCCTTTGTGGCAAATAGTAAAATTGATCGTTTGATATCTTTGAAAATACACTATTATGCCATGTGAATTGTGATTCAATTTGGCCCAAGGAAATGATGGTATTGATAGGTTGGGTGCCCTTCCAGATGATGTTCTCCATCACATCATGTCCTTTCTTGACACAAAAGATGCTGCAGCCACCTGTGTGTTATCCACTAGATGGAGAAATCTTTTCAGCTGGTGGAAAGATTTCAGATGGAGAATTCCTGTTCTCCATCTCAATATTAATGGACCACCTGACCCAGTTCTGCATTGGATGATAGTGATGGGGAGTTCTCTGAATCTTTAAGTATCGGTTACGAGGTGGTTCTACAAAGAAACAGGGCTCCTATTAGAAAATTGAGTCTGGTGGAAAGATTTCAGATGGCGCTTGAATTCTTTATATCTGCTGCACTTGATATTGTTGCGTCCCATAACTTGATATGGGACTTGATATTGTTGTGTCCCATAATACTACAGGACGATTGTTTCCTATAGAAATATTCATTTGCAAAACTCTGGTAACTGTGAAACTATCATGGCAAGTTAATCTTCTTGTTCCCAGTTCAGTTTTTTGCCAAATCTCAAGGTGTTGCACTTGACAGGACCTGTGGGATTAGTAGATGAAAATTACTTTCCAAGACTTATTCGTGGTTGCCCATCTCTTGAAGAATTGTATTTAGTTTTCCATAGGTTGATTTATCTAGTCCTTCATTGAAAAAACTTAGGACTTACTAGTTGGGAGGACGCTACAACTATGTAATTGAGTGTAACAGTCTTGAATATCTTGAAGTCAGCGGTTTTGGAAATCATAAGTTTATGCTAAATGTCCTGAGACTCGAGAGATTTGGAGTGTGAAATTGATGCTCAAAGAGTAACGTTCATTCAAGAACTGAAGTCTCTTGTTAGAGCCACAATTTTATTGTCGCATCTCCACGCAGAAGGAACTGAAAGTGGCTTGTTTTTTCGTAGTCAGCATTCTTTTGAGCTTATTAATTGGTTACAAAGTGTGAAGTCACTTGACCTATGTCACCACTCCCTGCAGGTATACATGCCTTCATTTTACTTCTTTCTTCTCATCTCCAGGCTTTTCCTTTGACTTGTGGACTAATTGGACATTTATACTTTCAAGCAATAAGTTTTCTTAAATGTTCTGTTCATTTGACTGTAGGCTCTCCATTATTCTCGACAGTTGTTGCCAGCTTTCGAAAACATGACAACTGTGTTGCTTGAAGCTCCTTGGAATGATGTTTTTTATCATACAAATTTGTGGACAATGTTACCCGCATTACTTCAAAGAGCCCCTAATCTTGAGGTGCTTATCTTCCGTCAAGTGAGTTATTATGAGCTTCTTAATGACATATTTCATTGCACTATATGTCTGCAGTCCCTATTTGATCTTCTTTAATCCACAGGTCTTTAGGAATGATTTTGGTGGAATCAAAGAATTCGGGTGCATCTTGGCAGAGGCTATTCCTATATGCATCGTTGAACGTCTTAGGGAGATAGAAATCAGAGAATTCTATGGGGAGGAATATGAAATCAAGCTAGTGCAGTATTTCTTGCAGAACGGGAAGTCTTTGAAAAAGATGACTCTTTGTGGAGTTAGGCAGCAGTCAAAGACGTTATCGGATGGTTGTAATAAGATATTGTCATTCAACAAATCCTCAGAGGTCTGCCAGATTGTGTTCTTCAACAAATCGTAGAACAGGAATTCTCGTTTTTCTGGTATTCTTTTCAGCTAGACTGGATCGTTTGCATCCAGAAATGGAGTATAATCTCACTTGAAAACTGGCATAGAAATATCTGCTATTTTATGTAAGATGAGCTGTTCTGAGTTAGTTTATGCCATCCGACTGTTTTGCAGCTTCCTTTGAAGGTAATACAATGGAAAGAGGAATCAAACCCTCTTTTCTTTATGGGACAATGAATATGGAGAACCTCCTGTTTTGTACTTAGTTCTCTTCAGTCACCAAAAGAAAAGGAAGAAAAAAATTTCCTGGTTCTCAGCTTTGTTTTCCTATTCTTATTTTGGCAACAAAACAATCGCTGCAGCACATGCCAAAAGATGTGAATGCCTTCATACCTTTTGGCAAATGAACACTTTTTTTATTTGCGTAAACTTTTTTTATTTGCGTAAATGAGATGCTTCGAAGTTGAGATCTCTTACTTGCATTTCCATTCTCCTCCTCTCCCTCCCCCCCCCCCCCACCCCAAAAATAAAGGAAGAGGGGCAAGAACAGTTCCTAGTAGCAATCCTTCCCGGCAGTTCATGGCCAAGATTTGGCCAAAAAAAATATAATGTCCATATTTCATCTTGTACCTCGTTTTTTACATCATGTGTGGGACCTACAAAATTTTATTTTATAGTTACACGTTGTTGAAATGAGTTATGTGTAGAAAGAGTTACACAGCGTGCATTTTACATATAACCTTCTGCAACCATTTCTGCCCTTGTCCAAAAGTAAAGCAAATGAACACCTTATTTGTTTTATTAGCAAAAATGATAGCTACTTGACAAAAATACGGTGGAAGTGGGTACTCTATTTTAACAGTTGTTACTTTGGGCTTTAGCATTGCAATGAAACAAAACTCAAACAACACATGGAAAACAACCAATCCTAAGGGTCCGTTTGTTTCAATGTAAAAGTTTTTTCCCAAGGAAAACATTTTCAGTGAAAAACATTCATCAGGGGAAAAAAAATTATTTCCCTTCATTTTCAAGTGTTTGGTGCACTTTTGAAAAATGTTCTTCGAAGCCAAAACCCACAAGATTGTTCCCCTCAAAGATTCGTCAGTCTCCTTCTGCCAATGACCAGAACTCCATCCATACCTATATCAATTCACTACCCCAATCCAAATACTTCAAATTCCAAAAAATTAGATCATACTCCATGACCAGGAAATCCATAGTATTGCAAACCCCTTACCATTACAGATCATACTAATTACCTAATCACTGCGTCAATGGAAATTGCATCAAGAATGAGATTCTTGTCATTGATAGAGTTCTACCGGATGAAACACTTCACTGATGCTTACAAATAGTACTAAGAAAGATAAGGAAGACGGGGAGGCAGCTATAGGTCTAAGTTAGCCACAATAGATAATTTTGAGCCATGATCTGAAAAATTTCGGTTTAGTCATTTTAGTCCTGATGGCGTAAAAGATTTTTCACGGGAAAAAATTCTCAATCTTTTTGGCTGCCAAACACCAGAATTTCCTGACAAATATTTTCTGGAAAATATTTTTCTGTTCTAACAAACAGACCCCAAGGATTTGTTATACGGTCGAGCAATATCTTCGAACGGTTCCGAAATTAGAGGATCCTAGACTCCTAGTTCAGATTATATATCATTAACTAATGAAGTCGATGCCTGTTAGGTATTCATATCTATCTTTTACTGTTGGCGAATAAGAAATTATCAGTTCCCAAGAGTGTAGGGAGAGAGTGAGTGGTCAAGGGAAGAAGAGGAGGATCATAATATTCAGATCTTTTTTTTCTTTTTCTCTTTTCTGATTCAGTAATTTTATAGCCTCTGAATTTGGAATTGTACATAAATCAGCTGCAGTTAATGATTTCAGAGCAGCCATGAAAAGCATACAGCCACCCCACAATTTGCAGCCCACGGGTTTCACCATAGAAGCAGGTTCAATATTCAATTTTTTATGGTTTTGTAAAAGGATTCCTTATGCATTCATGCATGCAAGTAAATGATAAATGATTTAACCCCAAATTCTTGAAGAGATTCGTTTTAGTTCATTCCTGAACTGTGGTTAGGAAATATTGAGAAAAAACATAAGATGGGCTTAAAACAGAGTCGAGAAATGGACGAAATGGAAAATCTCAGAAATGGATAATATTGATAGGTTGAGTGCCCTTCCAGATGATTTTCTCTACGAAATTCTGTCACTTCTTCCTGCAAAAGATGCTGTAGCCTTCTTAATTGTATCCACCAAATGGAGAAAACTATTCACTTCAGTTCCTGATACTAATTTCTGCGTAAATGGACTGAACGATCCTGATGATCCTGATCCTTGTAGTGTAAGGAGTTTCCGGGACGAGATACATGTTGGTTGTCGAATACTTGCACTTCGAACTGGTGCTCCTTTAAGAAAATTTCAACTTCATATTAAACAGTATGTGGGAAGGTTTGCGTCTGCAGTTGAATTGTTTATATTGAAGGCACTTGCGTGTAGAGTCCGGGAACTTGACATTCATGTGGGAATGACAGATAAAAGCCGATCAATTCCTCCTGAAGTATTCACCTGCAAAACACTCGTCACTTTGAAGTTGACAAGGGATGTGGATTTGGATTTGATTGTACCTAATGCAATTTGTTTACCGAATCTTAAGGTTCTGCACTTGAGAGGGGAAATGAGAGTGGTAGATGGAATCTGTATTCAACGACTTATCAAGGGTTGTCCTTCGCTGGAAGAACTGAACTTAGTCTTATGCCGTATGGATGAGAGTGATGAAGATCAAGTAATTGATTTCTCTAGTCCTTCACTGAAAAGATTCACACTTGCCAGTTTTAATTATGGGGGCCTGTTTGATTTCGTTTTGGATTCAAGCCAACTTGAATATCTGGAATTCCACCATGTTGGGAAGCATAGGTTCACATTAGATGCCCCAAACCTCAGCTATCTAAATTACGAATGCAATGCTGTTGAGGTGAACCTCATTCAAAAGAACTTCACTCAAAGCCTGAAGTCTGTTGTGAGAGCCAGTATAGCAATTCGGTATATGGCTCTTGAGATTTTCAACAAACAATCCAAACAAACTTCTTTTTGGATGGTCGGCATGCTTTTGAGCTCATCAATGATTTGCAAAGTGTCAATCTCTTCAGTTACATGGACACACTCTCCTGGTATGTATTTCTTGTTTCTTTTACTTTTTCTTTTCTCATCCAATTAGGCTCCTATTTTATAATTGTGGACTGGACATAGAATGTTACCATTAGAGGGAGCAAATTGTTTTAACAGTCTTCTCCCTTTTTGTGAAGGCTCTTTTTGAATTTAGAGGAAGGTTGCCAACTTTCAGAATTTAACCATTCTGCAGCTTGGACCTTTTAATTATGATGGTGTTGATCATGGGCATTTGTGGAAAATGTTACCAAGATTACTTGAAAGTGCCCCAGACCTTGAAGTACTTATCCTTGGTGAGGTAAGTTATATTGAGCTTTTCATCAAGAAGTTTATTAATTTCATTATGTATTGCATGCAGTCCCTAATCTACTTTAAATGGACAGGCGTTTGGGAATGTCTTCACTAGAGATAGGGAGTTTGAGGTTTTTTTGCCCCTGTGCTTTTCTAGTTTTGAGGTTTTTTTGCCCCTGTGCCTTCCTAGTTGCTGCCTTGATCGTCTTAGGGAGGTAGAAATCAGAGAGTTCAACAATGAGGAATATGAATTCAAGCTAGTCAAGTATATTTTGAAGAATGGAAAATCTTTGAAGAAGATGACTATTGGTGGAGTTATAAAGGCTATGAAATCTTCAGAAAAATGTTGCAAGAGGATATCATCATTCAATAAAAGCTCCCAGGATTGCCAGATTGTATTCAACTAGAAGGAAAAGAAGTAGGATTTTATGATCATTGATCATGAGTTGGAATGTGCTGTGGAGCTACTGGTCAGGATTTTTATGAGAAATTCTTGTCATCTTTCCACGGCATGGTTTGTTTAATGTTTAGTAAAGTTCATCTAAAAGCAAGTTACTTATTCTGCTTGACATTTCCCTTTCTGGAGACAATTTTGGATTTTCCTTTTCAATGTGAAGATCAATTGATGAACTTGTAATGAAAATTAAACGATCATATCCAGTTCTTAGCTGATGCTTCTCAATTCATTTAATAGCAGGACCAAAAATCTCTATCACATGTTTTCACCCTTGAATGTGTAAGGTTATGGCAATGTCTTAGGAGTACAGCAATTGCAGACGATGTTGTTGGCTCTGGCTTTAGTTAGCAATTTCTCTGAAAGAAAAAATTTGTCAATAATAGCACATTCCCTAGTTTAACCCTAAGATAACATAATGTCAAGGTCAAAGTAACTCTGTTTGGATTAGCTGCTTTTGGGAGTGTTTTTAAAATTTTACTGTAGCAGTGTATATGAAAATTTTTACTATAAAATTTTTTGAAATATTTGATATATTATATGGATGAGATGTTTTTCGAGTATTGTGTATTATTATAGCATTGTATTTAAAAAACTTGTTTTTGAAAAAATGGCCAAACCAAACGGAGCGTTTCTCAAATGCAAAAAACTAAAATTGTCAAAGTGGATTCTGAGAGGAAAAATAGAAGGACAAAAAGGGAAAAACATTTCTTTGATGGAGAGCACATTCAATAACAAATTAATGAGGGTCCCTAGTGTTAGTTTTTGAAACAAAAATGTGTGTAAATGCAAAAGGGCAATACAAATGAATGTGTAGATTTCAACTTTTATTTGTATGTTTTAGAAGTTTTTCGAGAGCAATTGTTTGAGATATGCATTTATCAATTACGTATTTACATATTTATTTTTTCAACAGGGGAACTTGGGATTTAAGAAGCGGGGAAGGAGAAAAGTGATTTGAACTCAAAACCTGTAGATCCTATCTCAACTTCAGCCATTAGAAAAAATTACGATATTTAGGTAATGCAGATTGAAAACAAGTTTATGGAAAAATTCTTGTGATTGATTTATGAAAGTTTGCAATGTGCTTTGATTAGCATGAAAGAATTCAAGTTACAGCAGCCAGTTTTTTGCGATGAAGTTACCCTCCATCAGTTTTCTAAGTATGAAAATCAATTGCAAATTTGCAACCAAGAGGCAGACTTGATTTTATTTAGTAAACTTCATTGCAAAAAACACTCAAGGATGAAAGAAACACAAACTAAAGGACTGTTTAATTAAACCAGTACTTTTTTTTTTTTTTTTGGTTTAAATGGATAAAGAATGGGCCCAATATTTTTTGGTCAGTAAATTGTAAGTTCCTTTTGCGATATTGTTGCAACTAAGGTGTGGGTAAAAATTTTATAGGTTTAATAGTGAACCCATAGAATTATTTTTTTTAATTTTGTTTCTAAACAACAGTTAAACCAGTACTTAATTTCCTTCCCTTGAACCAAAATGAAAAAAAAGAAAAAAAAAACAGTACTTAATCGTTGAAATTCCAATAATACAAGAACGACCTGTAATTTTATTGGAGCCCAAAAAAGTTTTAGAGCAAGAGAAGGCTGCTATAGTTGCAAAGAGTTTTTCTTTTCAAATGTCTCCATGAATACAATTTTTACAAGCTTGAAATTATGTACCATGCTCTAGTTAATTTAATGACTTAATTCTCTCAGCAAAAAAAATAAAAGTAATTGTTATTTGCATGGAAGAATCCCTCAATCAGTCAGAGATTTCTAGCTACAATAACTTTCATGTAACGAAAACACTGTGAAAGGATAGCACCTACGTTGGGCGGCAGATGATCCCACTGGAGAAAATCAAACTAAAACCAGTCCTTTTACAGCATGCAGATTTGGTGTTCAGGGTCTAAAATCCAAAGCAAAAAATGAAAAAGAAATAATGATGTTAAAAATTGCAGAACGATACCAATTTTTTTAAAAAAAAAATTCTTCAATGATGTTAACAAAATTCAATATTAATTTCATGAATTCATACTTAGCGGAGGTATTATAAATTGGTAATTAACTTTACAAATAAAATTAGATGAGTTTGTAAAAAGTTTAAAAAATAGATTGTAAATGGATAATTGGATTACTAAATTCCTTTTTTGATTTACCCACTTATATCCATTTAATTAAACGGGTGTAAATGAGTTGACCCAATTATACTAATACCAATTTTAGTCCATCTAAATCCACCCGAATCATCCATTCTTAGGTTAGTACAAAAAAGTTATTTTCATTATTATAAAATATTAGGAGTGTCAATTGGGTTTTCTAAACTAGGCTTTGGCGAACCTAGCCTCCACTCACAAATTATACGGTTTTCGAGTTTCGACCTTTTAGGCTTCGGACTCAAATCAAGAGGTTCAACCTCATCTCACACTATCATACTCCCTCTATCCCGAAAAGTTGGTCATTTTCGGGAACTGGAGTATTTTTTAACAGTAGACAAAAGAAGAGATATCTATCTGTACTTCCTAAATTGTCCCTACCAAGCTATCCAAACTTTGCCTATAAGTCGTGTGGTGAAGTTATTCAATGATTCATGCAAACAAGTCAACAATGCAAACAAGTCAACAATCTGGCCATTATATTATTAAGCTACACTAATTCTTTGCTTATGTTGCACTACACGCGTTAGCAAACATCCACCGCACCAGTCACGCACTTTAAAGCGCATTCCGGTCTTATGACAACTTGTGCTAGACCCACATATTTAAAGGCAGTGCTTGAAGGGTAAAATAGAAGAAAAGAAAAATTCATTTGCCATTTTAGGCATGTGACAAACATTTTAGGACAAAATGGAAAGCATGACAGTTTCAATGGAGGAAGGAATATAAGTTTTGGGTTCAAATTGGGTTCAGCCCAAATTCATAATTAATATATAATTATATACACTATATATTTATAATTATGAATTACTATAAATTTATATATAAATTATTAAAAATTTATGTCATTATATGCATAATTATATATATATATATATATAAATGGGCTAGGCCTTAAACAGGCTTGAGAAGGCATAGCCCAAACTTTACTCACATTTAGACGCAACATTTAGGATCAAAGTCTGCTCGATTCAATTAAAGATTAGGATCAGCAGGCCTTTTTTAGGCTCAATAGGTTGGGCTCTGGCTGGTCTAAACCAATTGACAGCCCTATAAAATATTTCAAGTTGACCCTAGTTTTATTATTTTCATTATTATAAAAAATATTTCAAGTTATTTTTACAAGTATTGTAAATTATTATAATTTTAAATATCTTAATATTTCTTGTCCAAATCAATAACATTAAAGCTATTAAAGGATCTTTTGACTCCTTAGTCAACTTTTCAGTTTAATTAAAGAACCATATTGACTACGTTTGCAAAAATTAAAAACAAAATTAATATGTTTATCACAATTAAATTTACAAGAAAAGGGTAATTTAGAATGGAATTATATTCTCTCTTTCAAATGAGTTTTTTTAATATTATATTTTGGAGTGGGTTGCAAAAGTTAGGGAAAAAAATACCTAAAGTAAAGAAATCAAGTGAGATTTTTCAAAGTTCAAAATTGCCAAGTGAAGGTTTATGAATTAGGAGATTCTACAATTCCTTTTGGTATCATACTCATAAGTAAAATTTACTGTTGGATGGTAAAAGAAATATTATTAACCCTTAGATTAAATATTATCAAATATTTAAAATTTAAACTATTATCTTTAGTAAGAGATACAAGTTGAGAGAATGATATCTAAAAAGAGACCATAGAATTTTCCTTTGAGATTATCCTTTATGACCCTTTTTTTTTTGTATAGCTTCAAACTAGTTTCCGATTGGGAATATCCTATCAAAGCAACCAAAGGACCTTCTCCCTGGAGTCTGCCTTTCGCTGTTCTTTCTCCCCTCTCCGCTCGCAAATTTCACCACCACCTGCCGTGCATGTGCATATATTTGAAAGCTCCGTCTTCTTCTCCCTTTATTTTTCCTTCTCCTTCTCTTTTCTCTTTCTTTGGATTCTCTGCCGCCCACTTGCTGCTTGGTGAAGAGTCTTCAAAGAGAGAATTTGTTTTTTGTTATATGTTTATACCCAAAACGTCTCCGAAAATCACGGTGAAAGCCACCGTTCATGGATATCTGATGAGTCAATATGGGTTGACTCGACGGACGGAGTCGGCCCAGCCCGAATTTCCAAGTCTGAGCCAGTTTCTACCGGGTCTACCATCTCTGGGATACGGCAGACCAGTAGCAGAACGGAGGCTGAAGTTCTGGTGATGCAGACTAGGCCTAATCTTTGAACCATGGTTCATCCTCGACTTCTTAATGCTCTTAAATTTAAAGTCCCCGGAGATGATAAAATTGATAGGTTAAGTCCCCTTCCTGACGACATTCTCCGCCATATTATGTCCTATCTCCCTACAGAAATTGCAGCGGCAACATCCGTCCTATCAACCAGATGGAAAGATCTTTTCATCTCACTTCCTGATATTGATCTCAGAGTCTGTAAATGCTGGTATGCTCTGACCGAGGAGGCCCGAGAAAGAGAGGTGTCTAACTTTCTAACTTTCGGATTTAGGTTGATTCTACTACGAAATAAGGTTCCTTTAAGAAAATTTCAACTTTTTGTGTCTCCCTTCGTTGAAAATCTTCGGGTGGCAATTGATTCTTTGCTATCAGCCGCGCTTCTGGCTAAAGTCCAAGAACTGGATATTTGTGTGGGAGGAGATCAAGAGAACAGATTATATCTTCCTAGAATATTCACATCTAAGACTCTAGTTACCTTGACAATAGAAACGGGTGAGGATTTGATTGCTCCGAGTCGTGTTTGCTTGCCAAATCTTAAGGTCCTGCGCTTTAATTCACTCAAGTCAATTGATGAAGTTTCCTTTGTGCAGCTTATTCAGGGTTGCCCTTCGCTTGAAGAATTATCTTTGAAATGGAGATGTTTGGAAAACGTGGATAGAACTCTTATTGTGTCTGCCCCATTTCTGAAAAAACTGGTATTATCTTGTATGCAAGGCAGGTATTCTCTAGCGGTGGAGTCTAACAATCTCGTATATTTGGACTGCAACGTTTATGGGGAGCTTAAATTTGCAATAAATGCTCCATGCCTTGAGTATTTCAAGTATCAAGGTTATCCTGTGGAAGTAAAATTTGTTCAAGACCTGAGGGCCATTGTCGATGCCACAATAGCATTTGATGAATTTGAGCTAAAAGAAACTGAAAACATCCTCATGTTGCAGGGTGAGAATGCTTTCGAACTTATCAATGGTTTGCAATGTGTGAAATCACTGAATATTGAGTCGCATAGTTTGAAGGTATGTTCCACAGATTTCTTTTCCTTTTCCATAAACTTTCTATAATCATCGCTGATTCTTCTTCTCATTTGCCTGTAGACTCTCTATGATGCTGGAAGATTCTTGCCTGATTTGGTAAATTTGACCAGTTTGGCCCTTGATCTTTACTGCGACAGTGAGAGTACCATGTGGTGGAATATGATACCAAGCTTACTAGAAAGTGCCCCTAATCTTGAAGCTCTTAATATCGTTTCTTGCGTGAGTTTGCGCTTTCTTTCTTTGTGTTAAACATATAGTTCATTGCTGTCTTTTGCAGTCCCTAATGCTTTGCAAATGGATAGGTTTCTGACAATCAATTAACATGTGAAGAAGAACTTGGAATTTTGCTGCAGAAGGCCTTTCCCTCATGCTACATTCGACAGCTTAAGGAGATAAAAATAAAAGTCTCTGGAATGATCAGGAATTTGGTTTCAAGCTAGTGAAACGTTTTCTGAAGAACGGAAAGTCATTAAAGAAGATTACTCTCTATGGAAGCTTAAAGCACTGGGAATCTAGTCCCAAAGATTACAACAAGATATTGTCATTCACGAAATCTTCAAAAGATTGCAGGATTGTCTTCGATCATTGGATGAATGGAAATGAATAATTAATGAATCTCCTTTTTTGTGCTTCGTTTATTTTTAGCATTGTTTTGGTGCAACTGTAATAATTTGTCGTAGTCATAGCATATTATGTTTTCTTTGCTTTTTTTTTTCTTTGGTTCTTTCTAATTTTCTTGGCGAATATCGAATTAACTATTCCACATCTTTAAGGTTAATGAACTTGCAACTGAAATCAGCTGTTTGGAGCGATAGCTGATGCTTCTGCAGGCGAAATCTTTGCTGTTGTGACATCAATCTCTGATTCTGCTTCACAAATTTTCTTTTCTTTTTCTATTCTTTTTATTTTGGCAATAGAACGACCACTCTAACAAATGAACTTCGTTCAGGACAAAGAAAACGAAGTTAATTGGTAACAGAAGAACCAAAAGAACAAAAACAAAATAAAGAAAGGGAAGAGCTTCTTGTCCATACAATAATATGGAAAAGTTGATTAAGGCGATTAGATAAAATACAGGAAGGATTTTTGCAGTTCTCTTCTCTGTCAATTTTAGAGTTCAAATATTGGGATTGTCAGTTGGGCTAGGAAGGGCATGTGTCAGGTTTAGAGTTCGAATGTTGGGATAGTTAGTTGGGAAGGATGTGAAGAGAAAATAATTAAGGTTCAAATACTGAGATTGTCCGTTAGGATAGGAAGGGTTTGGGATGAAAATAATTAAGGCCGATTTTTGTCTCTTTTTTTTTTCTTGTCAATTGTTATCAGCTACTCCTACTCTAACATATTTCGGAGAGAGGGGGTAGGGGAGTTGATCCAACAGGATCATGGGGAACCGACATGGACTGAACCAGTATCGGACCATACAGGTGTATTACACAGCCATATGGATATTAGAGAAGCTACATTAAGTGTCAACTTTGATGGGAAACAAGATTTGAATCATCGACCTCCTATTCCGCCAAGACATATGGTAGCCAACTACTCTAGAGGTAGTTGATTATTAAGGCGATAACATAACGGATGCAATGCTATTGTTAAAATATGTAATTATTGAGTACATGCTTTACTACCTCATACCCTAATTTGTGATTTTCTAATGTAATATAATTATCTTACATTTATATACTTTCCCTATTTAATCTTATCTATCATCCCTTGTATTTATTTACTTTCCCTAATTAATCTTATATTTTCAAAAATATAACACTTCAAATATATTTTAATGTATAAGGCACTCGTTGATATAATAATTATCTTGATTTATAGGAATATATTACTAGGACGCCAACCTATTAAAATTGTGCAACATTGCCTTTAGTCAAAAGTTGTAGGCTTTAGTTGCATTTATGAGTTGGATAAAAGGGATAATTTCATAAATCTCTCCTGAAGTTTTTGACAATTTTACTTGGCTCCTTTAACTTCTATGTACTTCCCCTAGCAGAGAATTGGAATCCATTGCTGATATAATGTGTGGCAAAATGGCTTTTATATCCTTAGTGTTTAGTGATATTAACCGAACAATTCCTAATAAATCACTATTAGATTATATTTGAAGGAAAGCAAAAGAAACTTTTGCAATTGTCTTCAGCAAATTGGTGCAAATTTCTCCTCCAAATCAAAATGGTAAGCTTTTCTAATAATAGTTACTTTACTATTAAAAAATTAAGCGTCCTATATCATTTAATTTTTATTTTGGCCATTATATTTAGTTGAACTACTTTGTAGATTTAGCTATTGATTAGTCTAATAATCCAAGGTTTGGTAATTCATCTGCTACATATTTTTAAATTTGCCTGTAGGCTTTTACTTTTTGAGCTTTTGTTTGAAAAGTTTTAATTCATTTAATAGTTTGTCAAAACAAATAGTTGCAACAATTACTATGGCGTCTTTGGCACCAAAGTATGTTCTCTCTCCAAAAATCATTTTTTTATTCAACGTTTCTTTGATTTATATAAAAGTTTCAAAATAAGGGATTTAAGTGAGATTTCAAAAATTAAGGGGATCCAAGTGAAATTGTTAGAAAGCTCAAGGGAAGTTTCTGAAATTATCCCTAAACAAAAGTCGTTCATGTGGCTAGAGTAGAGCAAGAACTTTTTGCGGCTTCGGAATGTTTTGTTTTACAAATTATTGGCAACAGACAAATTTCCAAAATTCCGTTTTCACTACATGATTGTCGTAGGCATTGGCTGTGAATCAACTCTTGAATCGTTTCATGGTTTTCACTAGATTTTTAAGTGATTATGCATTTATGAAATGTAGAAAATTGTAGCTGAATACCTGATCACTACTAATATACTGTTCATCTTGGCAGCTGCAGCTCAAAAAATCTATGTTAACTATCAAAGCTACATTGGAAAAATTCTCTGCAATGTCAGGCCTCAACCCAAATTTGGCAAAGTCTGAACTTTTCATGATTGGTGGTAATGTTGAACTGGGTACGGTATTTAGTTCACTTATTGGCATGCCACTTGGATGCTAGCCTGTAAAATACCTTGGTATTCCGTTGGTGTCTACAAAGCTCACATCTATGGATTGCCAACCTATTCTAGACAAAATGTTGAGAAGGATCAAAAGCTGGTCAGCTAGGAAACTATCATATGGGGGTGCTTGATTCTGATTAAATCAGTCCTAAATAGTTTTGTTGTGTATTGAGGTAGCATATTAATTATTCCTAAGATGCTTATTAAGAAAGTGGAAAGTGATTGAATGCTTTTTTGTGGTCAGGTGTTGAGATGAAGTCAGCAAACACCAGGGTTAGTTGGTGTGAAGTGTGTAAACCAATGAGGAAGGTGGTTTGGGGTTACAAAACTTGAAATTGTGGAATACTTGAAATTGTGGAATAAGGCTCTATCAATTAGACATATATGGGATATATACCATAAAAAGGACACTTTGTGGATTCAATGGATCCATTTTTACGTGCTAAAAAATGAGAGTTTTTGGGCAATCCAATCAAAGACTAACTGTTCTTGGTGTTGATGGTGGATGAAGCTGTTGAAGTTGAGGTTAGTAGTGAGAGGCTACATCAAGAAGGTCACTGGCAATGACAAACAGACATTTATCTGGCATGATAGTTGGCATCCTATAGGAATTCTTAAATATCTTTATTCTCCTCAATTACTGAAGCTGCTTGGAGTTTCAGAAAATGCTAAGGTTTCTGCTATAATCAAAGAAGCGAATTGGAATTGGACAATGGGTAAATGTTAGAGAGGTAAATTGATATAGTTGATAGATGCCAGCCCTTCTTATTTTCTTCCTCTTCTAGAGACTAATGATTAAGCTGTTTGGACATGTGTTGTTCATGGTGTCTATTCAGCCAAATCTGCTTTAAACTATTTTCATCTCCTAGGATTAAAGTGCCTAGGCACTTACTGGTATGGGGTAAGAGACACTATCTCAGGCATTCTTTTATATTATGGCTTGCTTGTAGGCAGATATTAAACACGAAAGAGAGACTATGTTCTTGGGGATTGAATGCTAATCCTATATGTGAGTTGTGTTCAACATATGGCGAAACTTTGGGCCACCTAATTTTCTAGTGTCCATATTCCAACTATGTGTGGGAACATGCGCAACAAAAGTGTTTGGTGTATGGCCATGCTCTTGAATGGGATAGTGAATTGCAATGGATGATCATGCATTGCTCTCAGCAAAACTTTTTGTTTCTCAAGTAAGAAGGATCACGTTTGTAGCTACTATGTATCACTTGTGATGAGCAGGAATCAGCAGGTGTTTAAGAAAATATTGCATTCTCTTGAGTATATAGTTCATATGATTCTTAAGGATATTCGAGGCCTGGTGATATGATGGAAAAAGGTGGATAGAAAGTAGGAAAATTTATAGCTATGCGCTGAACTTGATATTCCTTTGCTTCATTGATGACATTGTAGTATAGATTACATGTTTCTTTTCTTGATTTGATGTATTTGACTAAGGGCAATTCCTTCAATAGTGTACATTCTTCTTTGGATCAATAAAAGATTAGGAATTTAAAAAAAAAAAAAAAATATATACGTAGGGAGTTTTGTTGCCATTCTTGGTATCCTAGCTTCAGATAAAAGTAATAGAGCTTCAATATAATTCTAAAATTGTTCTAAAATTTAAGTGTAAGTTTGATTTGAATAAGTGTTTGAGATTCAATTATAAGAGTTCTTGATTGAGAGTGTCGTCTTGAGTGTGCCACTATACTTGTTTCTTTGAGTTTTCACCTAAATAGTGACGAATTTAAATTGATTGGTCTAAATCACATCCAACCTACTATATAAATATACACTAATAATATTTATTGTCCCTCATATTTATGCACTTTCTCTAATTACAATTATTACCTTCCATTATATTTATACACTTTTCCCTATTAATTTTACCTTTCAAAAAATTTTAACACCTAAAATATATTTTAATGAGTTGACAGTGAACACCTATTAGATAGACCCATATCTTGTCATATATTATTATTATTTATTACTAATCAAATTTTGAAAAACAAAAATTTAAAACAACGAAGGAACATGCAGACCCAAATTATAGGAGAAAAACTAAAATATAGTCAATTAGTGATATGAAAAAGTGTAAATAAGACGGAAAGTTTTCAATGCAATAAAAGACATAGGAAGGCACATGTTTTATTAAAGGAAGGATAGAATTTATGAATGTTGAAATCTAAGAGTGAGTTTGATAAAATTGAAGTCTGAAATTTGAAATCTGAAGTCGATTCCATTAAGTTATTGACTTGTTAAGTATTAAATCTAATACATTTGAGTGCATATCACATTGATAAGTGAATAGTTTATTATTTAATTTTGAGAGCAAGTTTTGTCTAGAAAATTCGGTACCACTTAATTAATTTAGATGTTTAATTTTTTGTTATCAAATGGTTTGAATATGTTAATATCTGAATCCATTAAATTTAAGTGCTGAACTGAATTATCAAACAAGACCTAAGTCGAATTGGGAACCACAACTCTCCTAGCTAGATCACATCGGCTTATGATTATTTTCCAGGTTTTCTTTTTAAGCAAAATTTCACTTTAGACCCTTAAACCATAAAGACACTCTCATTTTGGTCTTCCAAATTTTTTTATTTTGGACACTTTGTATCTTAAAATATGCAATTCATCCAATAGAATAATCAAAACTAATGAAATTGTAGGTAAGTGATGTCAAAAGTTAAGGAGTAAAGTGTGATAAATTTCAGACTTCAGAGAATAAAGTGTTCAAAATTGAAATTTAAGGACAAAATTGGGATGGATTTGATATTTTAGGAGGTAAAATATCCAAAATTAAAGTTAAAGAGCTAAAGTGACTTAAAGGGCAAAAGGTTCATTCCAAATTGAAATTTACCCTTTTGTTATATTATAACTAGATACTTACAAATGCAAAAAGTGTACAGGCTACAAAGACTTACCATAACTTTAACGTTCGAAAAATCGTAAATGTTAAAATATTACACAGATGCATATGGCAACAAATTATTCCAATTGAACAATACTCCATCAAATTAATTACTTCGAAAGCTTATAAATTCACCTAATCATGAGCTCCAATACATACCAACAACCTCTGAATCAATTATGGATCGGCAGTTTTCTTCTGTGAAGGTAATGAAGGGATTGTGTTTTTTTATTGTATTTTCCATGATGGTTATATCTGATGCCTCAAGCAAGAAGCAGATTCCGATCAAGGAAGCCTTAAGCCGCTCAAACAAGATCCCTCTCAAGTCCATCAAGATTTCCTCACTTTTGTAGAAACAGTACATGCATCCTTTCCTCACTCATGCTTGTGTACATATATCTTAGTGCTTATGCTTCTGTATTTTGCTTTTGTTCTTGTTTTTGTTTTTTTTTTTAGGATTTATACTCACTTTTTGATTATTCTCTTCTTTTTTCGTCGGTCGCTTTTTCTTTTAATCGACTAATCTCTTGTTTAATCTGTTGAAAAGTTAATTATGGTTTCCATATTTGCGAGACTGATACATGGTTGCCTCAAATGACAGAGTCCAGATGGTGATATTATTGATTGTATTCATATTTACCACCAACCGGCATTTGATCATCCTTTACTCAAAAACCATACCATTCTGGTAAATCTTTCATTCCCACACAAGTATACGAATGAGTTTGCAAAATAATGCAATTACAAAATAAAATCCTATATAGTTTACCCAAATAGATTGGGCTAATAGTTAGGGGAAGGTTCCTAGAGTGTGCAGTTGAATGGGAGGTGCCCTGCGGGAACAATTACTATCAGAAGACACCGAAACACAAGAAACATCAAGGGACATGCAAAGGAGAAACACCGAAGTGTTGCCCAGCTTTCTTCAGTTGATTTCAAGCTTGTGCCCAATTCTAATCTTGAGGTACCACAAGCAGTTGATAGGAATTAAATGTTTGTACCTTTCTTGAATTGTTAAGTTTCGATAGACATAGTAGGCCAAATGATCAAAATATTTCTCCAAGTATTTTAATAGGGTTTTTCTATTTTGTGCTCTTAGGACACATGATAAGAGGTGGATCCAAGTGTTAGTTGTTCAGAAAAATTTAAAGTTTCTTCGTTTAAGTTTCCTAAATTTAGGGGTAGATGATAATGTTTAAAATTTGAAGTGAGATACGGATAGATGCTAATGTTTAAAATTTGAAGTGGATCCATCTCTTATATTTTGTATGATTATCCTGTCGCTTAAGGGCGCAAAATAGAAAATTTCTAGTAATAAAACTAATATCTTTATATGCTGACAATAAATCTTATATACATTGACAGTTTATATACTATTACGGTTGGATATATGATATAGATGTAAAATTTCGATTTCAAATTTAGATTATGTATCATATATTCAATGATAAAAGTATATATACTGTCAGTGTATAGAAGATTAATCCTAACTTTATAGAAACTTTGTATTGATTAGTTCTGATGATTGGACGCTAATTAAGAAGGTCTTGAACTTTATCTGACAATCTTTTCATATTAGTTGATTTTCGCATTTTTATTTGTTTAAGCGTGCATTTGGTTATGTACAAAGTGGCAAGTACTTGGGATCAAAGGCAAAAATAAACGTCTGGAAACCCCAAGTTCAGAACCATGAGTTTAGCTCGTCTCAAATTGCAATTCTTGGAGGTCCTAATTCAAATCTCAATGCCATCGAAGCTGGTTGGATGGTACTTCATCTGTATAATCTTTTATAGAGTACTCATTTTGCTGTTGCATGTATAAATATGCAGGCATTGTCTCATGCTTTATAACATGCATTTGTCTCAATTTCTAAAATGATAGGTATTCCCAGATATTTGGAGATAACAACCCAAGATTCTTCACTTATTGGACTGTAAGTTAGTAAATTTAGACTGAAGTCAGTAAATTTAATCTAAATGTATTGTGAATTTTGTACTGAACGGTGGCGATTTCAACGGAAAGATGGCTACCAATCCACTGGATGCTATGCCGGGCCCGGGCCGCAGGGGATTAGTCGGGTCCGTAAGGATTGACCCGGACATCCCTGTGTCGAAAAAAAAAAATCCACTGGATGCTGCAACTTGCTTTGCTCTGATTTGGTTCAGATTAGCAAAAAGTTATCATTGCGAGCCACCATTTGCCCCATTCCTACCTATCATGGTCCACAATTCGATATCACCTTATACATTTGGAAGGCAATGGAACTCAAAATGGATGCCAAATAAACATAGTTCAGTATTTAAAATGTTTAAGAACACCCTTTTTCTGACATCTTAATCCTTCAATTTTATTGCTTCTTCCCTATACCCTTTTTTTTTCTCTCTGAAACATACTTTATAACACATAATAGCTGTAGAAATCGATTAATGAAATTCTTTTTTGAGTTTTTTCCATTTGTATGTCTGGTGGTCACTTGTTAGTACACTTAAATCGTAGTTAATGTTAAAAATTAATTTATGTAGAACTTTTTAAATTCAGCATGTTTGATAACAAAAATGCCTTACCACTTAATAAACTAAACACCACTTAATTCGTGCACAAAATTGCAAGTGAAAAATTTTAACTAAATTTTCTGAATTGATAGCACACATTATACCTTTCACACATATAACACACTTTTGTACAGGCTTCAATACAAAATATACATTTACTCTCTTTCTGTTTGACATGCACACACTCAAACACACACAACACACAAAAATATATACGCCTAAGAACTACATCTCAATTGTTTCATTATTTTTTCTTTCTCT